TTATTAATAACCTTCAGGCAAGACGGGAATAAAGACACAGACCTACTAGAGAGTGGACTTGAGGATACGGGGAGGGGAAGGGTAAGCTGGGACAAAGTGAGAGAGTGGCATGGACATATATACGCTACCTAACATAAAATAGCTAGCTAGTGGGAAGCAGCTGCATAGCAGAGGGAGATCAGCTCAGTGCTTTGTGACCACCTAGATGGGTGGGATAGGGACGGTGGGAGGGAGGGAGACACAAGAGGGAAGAGATATGGGGACATATATATATGTATAACTGATTCACTTTGTTATAAAGTGGAAACTAACACACCATTTTAAAGCAATTACACTCTAATAAAGATGTTAAAAAAAAAAAGATCCAGAAATCACAAAGTTAATGGAGTTCAAAAACAAGCATGTTAAAGCAGTATAATAAATATGCTTTATATGTTCAAGAAGAGAGAGGCTGAAAATATATGAAAGTCCCACGTGGAACTTATACAGATGAAAAATGCAATATCTGAAATGAGTAGTACACTAGATAAGATTAACAGATGATTTGAAATTACAGAATAAAAAAGATAAGTGACTTTTGAAGATATTGTGATAGAAACTAATCAAAATGAAACAAAAAAAGGCTGAAGACCAATAAACAGCATCAGTAATTTGTTGGACAGTATCAGGTAGTCTATCATATGTATAATTGGAGTGCCAGAAAAATTTCCAAAATTAATAAAAAGTCTGAACTCACAGGTCCAAGGAGTTCAGCAAAACCCAAGGAGAAGAAACATGAAGAAAAACTGCACAATGTCACATAAAAATCAAACTGCTGAAACCAAGATATAACAGTCCTAAATGTATATAACAACAGCTTCAAAATCCATGAAACAAAAACTCAAAAAATTGAAAAGAGGAAGAGAGAAATCCACAAGTATAGCTAGAGATTGCAACTCTCCTTTCTCAGTAATGGATAGAACAAGTTATCAAAAAATCAGTAAGGATATAGAAGACCTAAATAACACTGTAAGTCAGATTGATAGTCACATGCATAGAACATTTCACCCAACCACAGCAGAATACACATTCTTTACAATTGCATGTTGAAGATTTAACCAAGATCATATTCTAGGCCATAAAGCAAGTCTTAATACATTTAAAAAGACTGGAAGTGTATTCTCTGACCACAAATAGAATTAAACTAAAAAGATATTATGAAAAATGCCCAGATATTTGGAAGTTAAGCATGAAGTTTCTCAGTAACCCATGGGTTAAAGATTCAGTCACATCAGAAATTAGAAAATATATTGAACTCATGAAAACAAAAACACAGTACAGGCAGAAAATTGAGAGAAAATCTTGCAAAGTGAGGACACAGTTCTGACACGCACAGGTTTCATTTATTAGCATGGTACTGTGCAAAGTGAGGACTGCCTACATATTAGAATTTGTTAGATATTGCTAAAGCAGTGCTTAGAGAAAAACGTATAGCATTTAGTTTTTATACTAGAAAAGAAGGGACTTCCCTGGTGGCACAGTGGTAGATACTCCATGCTCCCAGTGAAGGGGGCCCAGGTTCGATCCCTGGTCCAGGAACTGGATTTCACATTGCATGCCGCAGGTGGGAATTCGGGAGTTCGCATGCCACAACCGAGAAGCCCACCTGTTGCAACTAAGACCCAGTGCAAACAAATAAATTTAAATAAAGAAATTAATTTAAGAAACGCAGAACAAGAAAGACCTAATCAGTGATTTAAGCTTGTAAGTTAAGAAATTGAAGGAAAATATAGAGCAAATTAAGCCTAAGTAAACAAAAGAAACAATAAAAATGAAAGCAGAAATGAATAAAATAAAAATCAGACCAATAGTAGTAAAAATCAATCAGACTGCAATCTGCTTCTTTGAAAAGATCAATAAAATTGAGAAATCTAAATAGCCAGACTGATCAGGTGAGGGAAAAAAAGATACAAATGACCAGCACCAGAAATTTTCCATACAGATTCTACAGATATTAAAGAATAAGGAGGGAATATTATGAATGATTTTATGCCAACAAAATTGATACTTCAGATTAAATGGGGAAGTTTCTTAGGAATACATGCTATTAAGCAGAAATGGGTAACTTGAATTATCCTACATGTATAAAAAGAAATTGAATTTGTAGTCTAAAGCATTCCCACAATGGAAATTTACTCCCAAATGGCATCAAACATATAAGAAAGAAATAACACAAACTCTGCTAGAAAATTGAAGATGAGGAACACTTTCCCATTCATATTGTGAATCCAGCATTTCCCTGATACCAAAACCTGATGAAGATGTTACAATAGAATAAAACTACACACTAATTATTTCTCATGAATATAGATTCAGAAATCCTTAACAAAATAAAAGCATATCTTATCCAGCAATACTTAAGAGGGATAATACATCATGATGGTGGTAATCTGAATAGTGGCCCCTACAGTGTCCATATTCCTACTGTCTGGAACCTGTGAATGTTAACCTTATTTGGCAAAAGTGCGTCTTTAGATGTGACTAAGTTAAAGGATTTTGAGAAGTGGAGATTATGCTGGATTAATGCAGATGGGCCAGATTTCATCACAAGGAGTCAGAAGATCCGAGAGGAGACAGTAGTTATAGTGATGGAATGAGGAGGTGTCCAGACCTAAGGAATGTAGGCAGCCTCCAGAAGCTAGAAAGGGTAAGGAAATGGATTTTCCCCTAGAGCCTCCAGAAAGAGCCAGCCCATGATTTTTTAGCCCTGTGTAAAATTCATTTTGGACTTAACGTCTCCAGAACTGTAAGAGAATAAATTTGTGTTATTTAAGCCACCAAGTTTGTGGAAATTTGTTATAGCAGTAATAGGAAATTAATACAATAAACAAGTGGAAATGCAGGGTTGGTTTAAAATTTAAACATCTATCAGTGTAAATAAACATATTAATAGTATAAAGGAGAAAACCCCACATAATCATCAATAAGACAGAAAAGGCCTTTGACAAAATTCCACACCCCTAGTTTGCTAGGAGTTAAAACTGTCTTTAGATAAATTCTATTTATCTACATCTAACAAATTCTGTTTATTTAGAATATTCCTAAATTCTAAATTCTATTCTAGAATTTTATCTCCTTGCAAACTAGGAATATTAGAAAACTTCTTCAGTGTGATATAGAGCATTGAGAAATGCTGGTGAAAGACTGAATGTTTTCTCCCTATGAATTGGGAAAAGGCAAGGATGTCTTCTCTCACTGCTTCTGTACAACATGGTACTGGCACACATAGCCAGTGTAATAAGGCAAAAAAGAAATGAAATGCATCCAGAAAGTAAATGAAGTAAAATTGTTTTTATTCACAGTTACAGAATCATATGTGTAGCAAATCCTAAGCAATCTACAAAACTACAGAACTGAGTGAGTTTAACAAGGTTACAGGATACAAAATCAGTGTACAGAATCAACTGTATTTCTATATAGTAGCAATGAGCAATCAGAAACTGAAATAAAAAACAACACAGTAGCACCAGAAGTATTACTTGGGGATGAATTTCACAAAAGATGTGCAAGACCTAATTGTTGAATGGTTCAAATATTAGGAAGTTCAGTTACATTGTGTTTTTGTTTGTCCTGCATTGGTCTTAGAGTATTCCTTCATTATGAAGACCCATGTCATGTACATACTGGACAAGTTTCAGATATGTTTTTCATACTGCCTCTTCCCCTGTTCTTTATATTTTCCTCTTTCTGGAGTTTTTCTTGTGCGACTTTTTCATTCTGTTTTCTATATCTCTTAACCTTGTGTGTTTTTGTCTTATTTGTCATTGATGCATTCTGTGTAACCTCCTCCTCCTTGGATCTGTCTTTTCCTTTAACAATTTTGTTTCTAATCTTTTTTTTCAATAAATTTATTTATTTTGGGCTGTATTGGTTCTTCGTTGCTGCATGCGGGCTTTCTCTAGTTGTGGCGAGCGGAGGCTACTCTGCTGTGGTGCACAGGCTTCTCATTGCGGTGGTTTCTCTTATTGTGGAGCACAGGCTCTAGGTGTATGGGCTTCAATAGTTGTGGCACGCGGGCTCTAGGGCACAGGCTCAGTAGTTGTGGCGCACGGGCACAGTTGCTCTGTGGCATGTGGGATCTTCCAGGACCAGGGCTTGAACCTGTGTCCCTTGTGTTGGCAGGTGGATTCTTAACCACTGCGCCACCAAGGAAGTCCTTCTGATTTACTTTTTAACCTGTTTTAATATCCCTCTTGCAGCTATAAGTTCCTGGAGGTTTGTTTACCTAGATGTAAATTTTGAGTTTGACCTCCTCTATTATATTTGGAAGAATTTGATTTCGTTTTTAATTGATGCTTGTTGTATGCTTCAGTGTTTATTCTGGGACCCCTGGGGCCTTCAACTGTCCTGGACTAGAATGTAAGCTAATTTCTCTGTTTGGGGATCCTGTACCACACAAGTAGTTTAAACTCAGATATCATGAGCGGCAGTGACCTGTCTACCTCCCTAACCTCCGCTGACAGACTTTTGCTTCTCCGTGATAGTAGGAAAAGTTAGTTTTGAGTTTTCTCATCCTTTTTTTTGAACTTGGGGATTTCTTTTTTTACTCTTGAACTTAACTACATATTAATTAAATATTTGAAATGTTCTATATTATCTAACATTTCCAAATATTTTTGGTGAGGAAAAGGTCCTGTCTTATGCATAGTGTTTTCTTGGTTTTGGATGTTGCTTACTGTTACTTGTTTGATTTACATTAGTTTGTTAAAGATTAGTGTGACTTTAACATATAATTTTTCTTTTTAATCTGTGGAGGTGATCTTTCTGTGAAATTCTTTTGTTCTAGATTGTTGGTCCTTGTTTCCTTCCAGAATTATAGTATTTTAATAATAATGAAAAGAAATTTGTTCTGATGGAATATATTTATAAGAAAAGCATTTCACTTTCAAAATTTTGAATTTACCTTTATGTTAATTGAGGAAAATTTTGAGTGTATATTTTTAAATTCTGATTTTGTCAAGACACACCATCCCAGAGAGTCCAGTTCATCCTGGGTACCGAAGATGATGATGAAGAACACATTCCCCATGATCTCTTCACGGAAATGGATGAGCTGTGCTACAGAGATGGAGAAGAGTATGAATGGAAAGAAACTGCCAGGTGATGATACTCTCTCAGTTTTTAACTGCCTTTACTTGGTTTCTTTTTGTAATGAGAATATAAAATTGAAATTGAGACATCCAGTACTTTAAAACAATGAGTAGAGAATTTCCTTCTGTCTGGAAATTTTATCTTTATTCTCAAAATTTGTTTCCTTAAATAATTCTTAATACTATAATATAAGAAAAGGAAATATGTTAACTTGTAGATTTTAATGTCTTTAATTAGAGGAAACAAGTTTGAAAAATCAACATCTTGCATATTTAAAGTTTAAAATAAGATTGGAAGCTGAAACTATGAAATTCCAGAGTTTGTTTCTGTAAACTTACTACAGTGATAGCTAGAATAGAAAGAGGAACTACAAAGGTAACTTGTGCCTATCGACATTATAGACCATTAGCCTAATTTGTAAAAATGTGTTTGTAGCGAAATTTTGTTTTAGTGGTGGTGATGTTTGTTTCTGTTTAAAAGAAGAAGCTTATGTTTATCATATTAAACAAATGGAATCATTATTTGTAAAATATTGTTATACATTATTCAGATGGCTGAAATTTGAAGAGGATGTTGAAGACGGCGGTGACCGGTGGAGTAAGCCTTACGTGGCGACCCTCTCTTTGCACAGTCTTTTTGAACTGAGAAGTTGCATCCTAAATGGAACAGTCATGCTGGATATGAGAGCAGGCACTCTTGATGAAATAGCAGGTGATAGCAAAGTGACTTCTTTATAGTTAAATTGTATTGAAGTTAGAGATACTTAAATAAGGAAAATAAAGTGGAATTTTAGACCGTTGATTTGACAGTTACATGTTGAGCTTCCATTCTGTGCAGGGCAGTATGAGGAGTAGACATATAAATAATAGCCCTTTTTGTCTTTGATAAGTTTGGAGTCTAAAAGATTAAATTAGAGAGATGTAACTACAGTTATCAAGAAGAAAGTGCCTAGTGCCATAAGCAAGATATGGAGTCTGTCCTCTGGAAATGCAGAGGAAGGAGCTTTTTGTTTCTTTGTTTTTTTGGACCAAGGTATCTGGGGAGGTTACAGAGAGTACATTAACTATTCAACTTATCCATAGAATTTGAACACATGGCGATAGGGAACAGGGTGGTGCAAGAGAAAACAAAGTATTCTAAGGAGGAGGAAGAGAAGGAAGAAAAGTCTAGAAAGTATAGACAGCTATGAATCTCAAGTCAATTCTCTGTGAGTATGCAGATTTCTTGAGATATGTTAGAAAAATAAATTAGAGGTGGATTGTGACTAGCCTTGAATTACTGGGTTAAGAAATTGGATTTTATTTGGTAGGTATTTTGGCTCTCAGTGATTTTTAAGTTGGAGAATAGTATGATCTCGATGTGTGTCAGGGATATCATTCTGGCGAGAAGAGGTAGGGTGGCTTTGGATAAGAAGAGGTTAGAAGCAAGGAGGTCATTTATTCTCTTGGAATGTCTAAGCAAGAAGTGATGACGATCTGATATCTGGTAGGTAGTAGCAATGGAAATGAAGGAGAGAAAATTGAAGGATACTGTGGAGGTAGAAAGAAGGAAAAGATAGCTGTGATAAAGCTATTTGGTCATTAACTGAAGTTGCTCAAAACCAATATCAAGTTCAATAGTAATAAATTTGATAGTGTGATTACCATTATAGATTGTCCAGTATAAAAACAAAGAACTATTGTATTTGATCTTCAAGAGGACCGTAAATTTATTAGAATTTCTCAGGCTAGAAATACCAATACGTTGATATTGCCAGATTAATAGATTTGACCTTGTGCTGCAAATCTTTAAGTTATCAAAGTCCTTTCTTGTTCTATATAAATGACTGAAAAACTGAGTTAGGATTAGGAATATTGAATTCAGACATATTCAATATGTCTTACTTTGGCTTTTAATTATCACATAATACAATATAATATTTTAGTAAATGTATAATCCAGTGTTCATTTGTATGGTAGCCTGCAGTCATGGTGTTGCTGTTAAGAGTTTACCTGCTAGGTTGATCCAGTTTTCTCTCAGAGGAACCTTATCATAGATTTGAAAGCCTGACTCTTTTATCTCAAGTTACTGCCACTTTTAAAAAATATTTATATGTACTTTATAAATTAAAAATAGTCCAGGACTTCCCTGGTAGCGCAGTGGTTGGGAGTCCGCCTGTGGATGCAGGGGACACGGGTTCGTGCCCTGGTCCAGGAGGATCCCTCATGCCGCGGAGAGGCTGGGCCCGTGAGCCATGGCTGCTGAGCCTGTGCGTCCGGAGCCTGTGCTCCGCAACGGGGGAGGCCACGGCAGTGACAGGCCCGCATACCGCAAAAAAAAAAAAAAAATAGTCCAGGCACCGCAGTAATGTATAAAATGTCATTGCCGTCAATCTCCCCATTTCCCACACCTCCCTCACAGCCTGATATAGTCATCTTTCTAAAACTTACTACTTCATATTTTATCTATTCAGTTACTCACTGGTTTTTCTACCTCTGGATGAGTGAAAGCAGAAACTTGATCTGCTTAGTTAATTGCTGTATTCCCAACACATAATAGGTACTCAGTAAATAGTTAATGATTGAATGAATGAGTATAGATACTCATCTACAGTTTTGGGGAAAAGTATGAGGTGAAGCAAGAAAATACCTTCACTTCTTAGAAAGCCAATATTTGAATATCCATTTTAATAGAATTTATTGTATCATCAGTAAAGCACCTTCAGCTATATAGGAAGGCTATTGGTGAATAACAGTAGCTTTTCAATAAATAATAGTATTCATTAAAATAAGGGTCTCTATTAATATGTTCATTTTTGTTGGATAATGTTCATATTTATCTTTATGCATCCATTATTCAATATTAGAAGAGAATGAGAATGATACTTTCTAGAGCTATTTAAGAGTCTTATTTTTCTGGTAAGATTTCACTTAAGATTTATTCTGTTTTATAGTCATCCAAGCATTAGTTTATTTAATAAAAATGATTCTTATCTATGTATTTTTTCTTTGCCTAGATATGGTATTGGACAACATGATTGCCTCTGGCCAGTTGGACGAGTCCATAAGAGAGAATGTCAGAGAAGCCCTTCTGAAGAGGCACCATCATCAGAACGAGAAAAGGTTCACCAGCCGGATTCCCCTTGTTCGATCTTTTGCAGATATAGGCAAGAAACATTCTGACCCTCACTTGCTTGAAAGGAATGGTGAGATAAGTTGTGGCATTCCTTTTTTGCTAACATGTCTACACTAATGGCATTCCAGTATGTTACAATTAGCATTCAGGAAAAGAAACATATTTTTTCTAGATAATTACATAGGCCTTTATCTTTTTAATTCTCTTTAAAATAATAATTTTTGCATTTAAAGATTTCATTTCTAAAATGTCTTTACAGCGTGACAGAATTATCTGTAGAAATTACTTAGATGAAAAAAATTAAGCATTTACTATGTTAAAATGGGATAAGTATTGGTAATATTTAAACACTACACTATACGTAACCCTGAATTACTCTCCTTGCTTTTTTGTTGCTGCTGAAGAATTCTTTTATATTTGATAAAAGAGCCATAAATTATTATCTATAAATTTAATCTTTTGAAAATTTTAAGTTTTGTGTTTGGGCCTTTAATATTAGATTTTTCCTGGAGATTTTTTTTTTCCTCCTGAGTATACTTTACTTGCTGGGCATAAGCAAGTATTTTGGGGTTGGTCTGCTGATTTCACTGCTTTTTATTTACATAATTTGTGAAAGGTTTTTGTGCTTGTTCCTGTTTTATGCTAGGGATGATGCAGTTGATTTTTTCAGGCCATTGAGAATGGCACAGACCCACACACTGCTGCTCTCCCCTCTCATTCATGGTCTAGCGTGGGTTATGTGGGACATGGGGAGAATGTGTTTTTGTAGCCATTTACCTCCGTCACTGTCTTAAGGCTGGCATGCTATCACTGGGGTTCTATTTTGGGTCTTAAAGATAGCTCTGATGACAGTGACTGGAAAAATCGAGGTGCAAAGAATTGGAGCTGGTTTTGAGGGTCACTGCTGCCTCTAGTTGCTGCCATTACCCAAGGCTTGTGAGAATTACAGTGAAGAGGAGTGGAGGATGTGCCACAAATCCTTCTGCTCATCTTTTCTGTCTCGAAAAGAGTATGGCTTTTAACTGTTCTACAAGCACAGTCACAGGTGGTAGGATTTAACATGTCTAAAGTTGACAGTACTTAGTCATCGTTTGCAGCTCAGTGTAAGATAATTAAGTCCATTTTCTTCTGAGCATTTGACCAATAAAACTCTTTTTAATCTATTTAAAATTGTGCCTTTCTATATTTAAGGAACCTTAAGAATGAAGGAAATCTCTTATGGACCTAAGTTCAATCTGAAAGCAAGCCATCTATGCCATGTCTTTTTTTCACCTTTCCATGTATTGCATATGCTCTACTTTAGTGAAGTGAATTTGTTTGCCTAGAGAGACCATATTAAATCTTTCTTCCCCATATGCAGTGATTCCTGATTATTCTCCAATTGTCAGTTGATTCCTTTTAATCATAAGACAATGGCTATTTTCTTTTAGATGCCATTTTAGCATGGGCATTTCGTTATTTTGTTATATTATAGTTGTAATTTAACATTTTTTTCTGCATGTAGCTTATTTTTTAACTAAATAGTGGTGGTTTATGGATTAAAAGTTCATATTTTTAATATTTCTGGGATCTCTTGAGCATGTAGCTTTGATTACTTAGATCATGTGGGGTTGTTATATTTCTCATGCTTTTCCTAAAAAAACAATGTTATTCCATTAAGCCACACTTAATTAGAATAACCAAGTTTTTGAAGTATAACTACACCTGACCTTTTGAAATACTGTAGACTTAACTTCCTCATCACTCTTGTTGGTAAGAAATACTTTATTCTTAGCTAGTTAAGTTAAAGATTGTATGTATTTGTTTTAATTTATCTGCTGCCTTAGAAATGGAAGCATATTTTAGGGCATTTATTAATATCAGATAATGAGCTCAAGAATATGTATTTTTAAAATTGACGTTTCTCTTGAAAAAAAAATTCCTATGTCTTATGTTTTTAAATTTTACTTGAGAGTGCTATCAGTAGGTGATGCCCTATTGACTTAATGTTATTGATACCACCTTTAAGTTAGGAATTATTAGATACCATTAATGTGGACTTTTCTTATGAGAGAATATGTAGCGGTTTGGTGCAATGTAGATAAAATGCACTAAATATCAGTGCTGGTAAGTTTTGTTTTGGGTTTTATTTCTTAGATTATTTTTGTGTTCTGATTTGCTATTTATCATTTTTTTAAACAGCAGCTTTCCATTGATATTATTCTTTAATTTTAAAGCCACACTATTGGACATTCTCATTACTAACAGAATATCGTCCCCGACCATCTATCATTAGCATTGTTTTTTATTTTTTGTTTTGATTTTTGGATACATCTTCAGAGAACTAATTACAGTTTAAGCCATTTTTCAGTGATTTTCTAATATTTAAAAATCTGATTGTTATATTAACCCCGATAGCATGAATTTGAAATTTTGGATCTTTTTTAAACCTTGCAGTTTATGGTGTAAATTGATATTTTGTGTCTCATTTGTCTTCTGCAGTGAACTTCATCACTTTTCATTTATTTGTTTTATCTCAGGGGAAGGCCTTTCAGCCTCCCGCCACTCTTTGCGAACAGGTCTGTCTGCCTCAAACCTTTCATTGAGAGGAGAATCACCTTTATCTCTTCTCCTCAGTCATCTTCTTCCTTCTTCGAGAGCTGGAACCCCTGCAGGCTCGAAGTGTACAACCCCAGTACCCACCCCTCAGAACAGTCCTCCTTCCAGCCCTAGGCTCAGTCGCCTGAACTCCAGAAGTTCCCAGCAGAGGCAGCTTCAGGCCCCAGAGCTACTGGTTTCACCTGCCAGTGATGATATTCCCACAGTAGTAATTCATCCGCCTGAGGAAGACTTAGAAGCACTGCGAGGCCAGGAGCAGAAGAATGAGGAAAATGTTGACATAACTTCAGGCAACTATTCAAAGTCCTCCATGTGTGGCGCTTTCTGCCTCTAGATCACTTGCACTTGGAATGCCTTTCAAGCACATAGCTTTAGTAGCATACATAGATAATGCTTATAATTTATTTTGACTTCTGCATGTTTTTTCTTTATAGTATATTACAGAGAAAGTTAGAATTATTTAAAATTTTAAATTTTAAAAAGACTCCAAATAAGACTACGCATAATTTAATTTTTTTTCAAAAATTTTCACTGAGATTTTACAGGTCAGTGCATTTGAATGGTTCAAAAAATGTAGACATTTTTACAAGTAATCTTTTAATTTGCCATGATTAAAAAAATGGTGGCTCTTCTTGTGCATTTCATTCCATAAGGTGAATGAACACATGTTTTACATAAAGTAAAATGGGGTGATATGCCTTTTATCTACTATTTGGTGCTTTTGTTCAAGGAATGCAGTATGTTTTAACCTTCCTAACAAAAAATAGAATTGAATGTTCTTTTTCTCATTTTGTCTCCTGGGATCATCGTTATTTCAAGACTAGTTTTATAATTTGGAATAGACTTTACTTGTCCTTTATTTAATGCCATATCTATTTTTAATCCTAATTCACCTTGAAATTTTCAGGACTAGAGTTCCAATAGTTGTGGCTAGGATATATTTCTATGTGAATTAGAAAAATTATTTCTAAGTGCATAAAAGGTTTGTAACTCACTTAAGAGTTACTATATATTATTATAATTTTGGCTCTTCCTCTTATGTATTAATTATATGTACATTTACACATATGTATCTTTCTACCCAATTCATATAAAGAAGTATTCTTTTTTTTTTTTATTTTGCGGTACGCAGACCTCTCACTGTTGTGGCCTCTCCCCCCGCGGAGCACAGGCTCCGGATGTGCAGGCTCAGTGGCCATGGCTCACGGGCCCAGCCGCTCTGTGGCATGTGGGATCTTCCCGGACCGGGGCATGAACCCATGTCCCCTGCATCGGCAGATGGACTCTGAACCACTGCGCCACCAGGGAAGCCCTAAAAAAGTATTCTTTAGTGACTATGTTTTACTGACAGCTAAGCATCAACGTGACATATGAACACTAACTATAGTGGTTTTAGTCACATAATAATTATTACATTTCTGCATAACACTGAATAATATATAACACTTCAGTAGTAGCTTATAGTTAATAACCTGTTTGATGTGTATAAAATTTTGTGTAAGTTGGGTGGATATACCTATTTTCAGAAACTCAGGCTCAGCTAAGTTAAATAAATTCCCCTGGATCATATAGCTAGTAAGTGATAGCCCATGTCCTCTGACTAAACATCCTGTGTTCCTACCAGTATATGACCAACCAGCCTCTCCCTCTCTTTATTGGCTGTATCCAGACATACTAAATACATTTAATCAAAGCTCATTGTAGTTGCCAAAAAAAGATGATACTTTTAGAAGTTAAAAAATAGAAGTTTTGTGGTTAAATCATTGTAACATTAATTATGATAGTACTTATAGTAACCATTGTTTCATAGGTTGTCACACACAGTGATGTGTACTTTTCAAATATCATATTTCTAATTTGTCTAACAATTTGATGAGTTCATGTTATCGCTGTTTGTAAAATGAAGAAAATTAAGACTTAGAGATGTTAAGGTTATACCGTAAATGACCAGAGCAAGGAATTGAACCCAGATCTACGTACAGCAAAATCTATAGTATAGAATTTAATTGTAAATTTTAATACTCTGTGGAAAAGATAGAGTATTATATAATGAGGTAACTAAACAAAAGAAAAAAATCTAGGAATAATTACTCAGAAATAACAAACATTCTTATTTTAATTAAAAAGGACTAGCAAGGTTTACTACTTTTCTTGAACAAAAATGACTTTAAAGTTACTTCCCCTTGCATTTGTTTTTACCTATATCTGTCAGTAATACTGAACATTTCTTGTTTTACCAGTTTCAATGTTGTTAATGATAAGGGGCTATAAATTTTATATGGGAAGGAAGGGATCTACAGGTTCACAATGGCTTATTAGGTCATGTTGTTAAGAGGATAAAAAGAGCAATTAACTGAAAATTGAGGGACACGATTAAATTATTTCCCCCTCTGCCATTAATTATGCCATGAGATTTATTAGCCTTTCTGAAGAAAAGAAATTAGAACATAGGGAAAAGAGGGAATTTCTAAGGAAAAGGGAGAGCTTATAACTACTGTTTAAGAAGACATTTATAGGAGGAATGTAATTGCAATAATAGGGGCAGCTCTATATTATTCCTTGCTTAGTTACCTTTGCTGCTTAGAGCAGCTGGAAACTCTATACGTTTTCCTGAAGTCTGATGAAGAAGGTGGCCTTGGCATCATTTTTGAGAGACTAATGTCATAGATTTTTGTGGCACGGGGTCATGATTTGTGAATACCTGTAGTAAAAATAAAAAAAGAAAAAAATGAAAGTGGTGTTTCCCATTAGTTATTTTTTGGAGAATAATTATGTAAAAGACGTAACTCACTTTTAGTGTTTGTAACTGTCTTCTGACTCAGTGTTTCTCACCCTCAGGCACTATTGACCCTTTGGGGTGGACACTTCTTTGTGGTGGGGGATGCCTTGTGCGTTGTCAGATGTTGAGCAGCACCCTTGGCCTCCACTCACTAGCCGCCAGTACACTCCCTAGTGGTGACAACCAAAGATGTCTCTAGATGTTGCCAGATGTCTCTGGGGGGCAGAATCTTCCCCAGATGAGAACCACTGCTCCAAATACTTCTACTTTCAAACTTTGAATGACAGAAAACTGATATCTTTGATTTCTGTTTCTCTAGGTAGCTTTGCTATTTTAAGAAAAAGAATGTAAGGGCACAATAATAGATTTGCCAGGCTATGATTTTTAAATCCCAGTACTGATTGTATACATACTCATATTTGTTTTTTCTTTTGCTCAAAGCAAATAAATAAAGTCCTTCTGAGTTATCTGTGCTAATGATAGTTTTAATTTTGGGGAATTTACTCACTTAATTCTGAGCTCTAGGAGCAGGGATACTTCCTTAATCTTTTGAGGAAATAGCTTTAACTTAGCTGAGAGTAGGAAGGATTGCATGGAGAAGGCGATGGTGGGAATCTCTAAGGTGTGCCTGGCATGCTGACTTTAACAGGTTCAAGGTGACCCGGTGAGCCCATGACTTCACGTCATCTCTTCTGGTTTTGTCAGTATTGAGTTGTACATTATTTCTTCTTCCCATTTTACTGTATCCTTGTTTTCCCCCAGAGCCTTCTCCCCATTCCACTCTTCTCCCCAAAATCTGGTGCCTGGGACTCTTCTGGGAAGCTGTGCCTATGTTTTTTTTTGGTTACACGTTTGCAGGTTGGATGCATTTAGTAGTTAGCAGTGTGTGTGTGTTGATGGTCATTGCAATTGCTGCCAGGGCCTTAATGATAACTCTTCATTTTCTTGTGTGGGAGTTGGTGGAAACCACTGAAAAATACTGGTTCACTTTTTTTTTCCACTTGGGCATGTATTTTAATAAAGGAATGGACTCTATAATGGAAGTGTAGGGACAAAGTTCAAAGAAGAGGCTAAAATGGTGAAAAATTAGTTAAGTTTTAGGAAATAGTTTTTATTTCAGAATTGTTTAATACTTCTAGGGAATGAGCACATGGCTAAGGGGATTGCGCATACTTTTTACACTGAGATATTTGGGTCAGAGTGACATCCTAGCGTAGATATTTAACATAGAAGTGGGTATCACAAAGGTCTTCTTTCACTAAGTTTAAGCAGTAAACTCAAATGACTTAAAGTTACTAGTGTATGTTGTATTCTGTAAAAACGAAAACTCCCTTAGAGGCATTGAATATATCTGATATGCTTAAAATTTTGGAACTCAATTACGAATATTGACTTTAAAGTTTATAGGATCTAACTACAAACAATTTAATTGAATTTCTGTGGGTCACTAGATTGTCTTGAGTGGCAGAGTTAAAACTAAAAGTAAAGACTGTTGTAATTGTCTAGTGCATCTTCTCCTGTGATACTCAGTGTTTTGGGTAATATTAAATCTATATTCTTGAACTAAAAAGTCTTGGGTGTTTTGAAAAAATAAGATACATTTAATGGTAGAAATCTGTGTTAAGTACTTAAATATTTTTGAGATTTGAACTTTATGCAAAATTCGTAGTGGTAATGATTGGTCATATGCTACTGGGTGTTTTTATGTTATTGTGTGAATTGTTGCTGCTGAGTGTTACTTGAAATGAGTATACATAATGCATGAACATATATCTATCATTTGTAATACAAATAAGCTAATTTAATAGAACGTGTATCTAAAATAGTAAAAACATTACTATTATGTTTTAACATATTTCTTAGGAAGAATGACAGTAGGCAGCACAAAAATTTTACACAAGAGAATGAAAATTCTTGAGGAAACTGTTAAGATTAGGGATGATTATGGCAAAATTAGTGTACATTTAGTTGACGTAGCTCTTAACATTTTCTGAGTTACATTTAGGTTTTATCGGAAATTTTATATTGTTATTGATGTAAGTGTGTTAGACATCATTAAGCTAACTTAATGATGTGGAGTTCACATGTCTGTTGGATACATTGAAAATGGATGCCCTAAGTATTTCTAGTGGTGATCAGACCCAGGTCTTCCACCTTCTACTCACTTTTTCTCTTTTTGCAAAAGGCCACCATTTTTGTAAATGCCAATTATATTATTTAAAATGTTAAAATATATAGCTTCATTATTGCTTAAAATGTTAATCTACTCTTGCTGGTATGGTACTAACACTTGGCACCTTTTTTTTTTTTAACCTAGCACATTTGCTTTTAATAAACCATCACTTTCAGGATATGAGCAGATTCAGGTTACAAAGTGAATTTTCTCCTTACTAGTTTGGAATTTGTTTGTTCTTAAATACAGGTATTTTGGCCTCTCCACAGTCTGCACCTGGAAACTTGGACAACAGTAAAAGTGGAGAAATTAAAGGTAATGGAAGTGGAGGAAGCAGAGAAAATAGTACTGTTGACTTCAGCAAGGTAATTCTGTTACTAACTATACATTTTCATAGTCATTTTTACTGAGAAAATTGTAGCAATGTGGCTTTATTAACATTGATTATAATAATTTTTTAATAACTGGTGCCTATAAACCTGCATGTGATGCTTATGATATGTTAATTTATGATCAGAAATTGTGAGAAAGGTAACAGTCTCATAGCACTTGAATAACGTTATCTCTTACTAGTGTTAGAAATTCTGAAAAAAGAATATATGAATAATATGGTATTTTCATCTATACCTACCCATAGATATCATGAAACTTCAGTACCTTTTGAATTACAGTCGTTTGTTCTGGAGCTACCACCACTAGAAAGATTAATTCTGGTAATGATGTTATAGCAGTAATGATTCAGCTTTTTCTCGGCTGTAATGTGATCCCAGAATTATTGTCTTATGGTGTCAGTACTTTCTGGAATGTCACTGGGAAACATTGGTACTTCCCCATGGGTAGGTAAAGGCGTGGATTTAAAAACAATTCACCTATCTCAACTATGATTTTGAATTGTGGTACGTGAGTATTTAAATGAAATATAAAAAGAACTTATTTCAAAAGAACAGGACAAAAAACTACAAGTTCAAATTACAATTGAATTTAAAGCATACTTTGTGAGTACTGCCTCTGAATAATTGATCCCCTGTGGCCATTGTAAATTTTTTTATTGGTATTTACTATAGGATACAATGTCAGACTTTTAATTAAATGTGATTATTTCAAGTAAGATTCATTTTTTAAGCCTTTATTTTATGATGCAAATTCTATAAATCACATTTTGCAGAAAAGGCATTTAAATGATGATTTGCGGTATAGCTTTGCTGAGCTTCATGCTCTAAAATTATAAAAAGCTTTGCCAAAAAAAAGCCTTGCTTATGGGACGTTGGTACTGTTCTAAGTCGATCATATTTTTACTGGTGCACCAATTATTTCAGATGAGTGTAAAGTGTTCAGTAACTAAATTGCAACGAATAAATTACTATAGTTTAAGTTATAGATCTCCTCTAGACATGGCAGATGCCATTTACTTTTGTTCCTCTGTCACAGTTTTCCTTTTTTTACTTGGTCTGTCCTTGTGTACACCTCCTTATCTCCTGTTGGGCAGGAGTCTGCCTCCTGGCACTGTAGTTGTGGCACACTGGGTGTGGGACTCAAGAGGCCCGCTGTAAGTGCTGGTTTTATTTTAATAGATAGCCCTGTAAGTGGTTGTTTAGTGCCTTGTGTGAAACTGCGTATAAACGAAGAAGTTGCCATACTTTGATATTATGCTCGTAACCTTTTCTTTGTAATTATACACAGACAACTGAATTTGATTATATAGCACTACCATATATCTATACCAATTATGGCTATTTTAGTTTTAAATAAACATAATTTTTCCCACTTAATGAAAATACTGGGGGATGCCCGGAGTTCTTTAAAATAAAAAGAACTTACAAAAATACATAAAATATAAAGGAACTAATTGATTTCTAAGATTAAACAATAGATAATAATTAAATGAATATTTTTAGCACTGTGTATAATTTCATGGACCACTGTTAGCTTGTGAACTATATTTTTGTCTTTAATAGTTTTTAATGAATACTGCTATATTCATTGAAAATTTTCTCTAGTTTGTATGTTTGATAATTTAGATCTCTGAAGTAGTAAAGACTATGACGGTAAAACAGTTGGGAGTATTGTTTGGTAGATGTGTTTTGCTTGCTTTTTTGTATTTGTCTACTTCATTCTTTGTATTTGTGAGAATTTTGGCATTTTTACATCCTTTAGATCACCAGTTTTGATTAGCAAATAGTAGTCTTAAAAGCATCTTTTCTTTCCTATTTCCCTCTGGTCTTATGAATACCATGCACACTTTATTTTTAATTATTATTTATTTGTCACTAGGTTGATATGAATTTCATGAGAAAAATTCCTTCAGGAGCTGAGGCATCCAATGTTCTGGTGGGAGAAGTGGATTTTTTGGAAAGACCTATAATTGCGTTTGTGAGACTGGCTCCTGCTGTTCTTCTCTCAGGGCTGACCGAGGTCCCTGTTCCTACAAGGTAAAGAGAGGGTTAATTCCAATTAACATTCTCCCAGAATGTCCAAAATCTAAAAAATTTTATTCACTGAAGGAACATGTTGCTTTATGCAGCATAGCACAGGGAGATCGGCTCGGTGCTTTGGGATGACCTAGAGGGATGGGATAGGAAGGATGGGAGGGAGGCTCAAGAGGGAGGGGATATGGGGACATGTGTATGCATGTGGCTGATTCGCTTTGTTGTGCAACAGAAACTAACACGGTATTGTGAAGCAATTATGCTCCAATAAAGATCTGTTAAAAAAATTGATAAATTTAAAAACTCAAATTATAAATTAAAAAAAATACATTGACTTTATATTTTTACAAGAAGTGCGGTATCTTGGGAGCCTTGGTTTAAAAAACAGTTCATCATTTTAGACATAGTATGTTCTGTGCAGGCACTGAAGTCAGAGAGAATGGAATTGAATCCTTGCTCTGCCACTTTTTGTGCGACGGTCAAGCCAGACTTCAGTTCTTTAAGCTTTATTTGTAAAATGAGGGTAGCAGTACCTCACAGGGTTGATTAAATGTAATAATGCCTCTGAATTAGGCAAAATGCTTTGTTCTGACCTGATCAAATCGTCTGTTCAGTATACATTATAAGTAAAAATTAAAATGGGGGTCATATCCTTACGAATTAGCAAGTTGTGTTATAAAGGGTTATCAATTTGTTAGCTACTGATTGTATAAACTTAATTACAAATGAGAATAATTAAACATTTTTTTTCTTATTCATATAATAGTAAATAAGAAGAATTAATTGCAGCTTGATTGAAATATATGTGCCAGTTCTTAATAAGCTTTACTGAATTGCATTAATGGTATAGTATTAAGATAAATGAGAATAATAATTTCATAGATTCACATTTAAATTCTTATAAAGCAGGAAGCTGAATACTTCCAGTTTGGATTATTGTGAATATTAATATTTTACTGTAGTGTGAACAATGATATAACTAAGTAGGAAGTAAAGTAATTTTTATTTAGTCACTATAAATAAATTAAATAATAAGAGATTTGATGTTAAATTTGGAGTTGTAAATAAAAATGCTTTTCCTTCCAAAGGGATTAGTCCCTTATTTACCACATTAGTGTCTTTATCCAGACTGTAGTTTGAGGAATCATGGATTTCTTGTGCATACTCTTAGCTATTTTATTAAGCCAAAGTAAATACTTGAAATGGGATTAGTATTCACTTTATTTACTAATTTACTTTTTTTCATCAGTACAGACCAGAAAAAATTGTTTACTCAAAATTCAAAAGGATATCGAAGATGGGAACTTTTCATGTAAAACACCAATTCCTTAAGTACTTTTTTACTCTAAGGAAGATGAAAAGTAATAACTTGGTAGAAACTTATTTATGGAATGTCTTTCATAGTTTTGTGATCTGTTTTCATCTGAATAGAGTTCCATCCTCTTTTCAGCCATTGGTGTGTGAGGACAGAAAAGAGGTCAGAGTGTTGTTTCTGTGTTTACATTTGAATGATTTCTTTATGATTCCTAGATTTATGTGTGTATGTTGTTTATGTTTAAATCTGTGTTTTCCTGTTTCCTTAGGTTTTTGTTTCTGTTATTGGGTCCTGCCGGCAAGGCGCCGCAGTACCACGAAATTGGAAGATCAATAGCCACTCTCATGACGGATGAGGTAATTAAAATGCCCTTTGACATGGACACTGATTTAAAAGCATATAATGCATATTAAATTATAGTTCTCCTTTCATAGTGAAGCTTAAAAAATTGTCCTTGCTTGTCTTTACTATTTTATCTCATATTCACTATTTGCCTTTTGCAAGGTCTTTATGACCTTTCTGTCAGGGATCAGTGGATACTGTTTGGTTTCCTCCCTCCCCCGCACCCAAGTTGAAATTATTGACCATCTTCTTGACATTTTGAAATTTTCTTCATCCTGCATTTCAGGATATTGGTTCTTTAGGTGTTCCTCAGGACTTTGTGTTTTCCCCTTTTTTCTTTATAATTTCTTGCTTTTGCGGACATCATCTTTGACTATGGCCTATATTGATCAGGACTTTGTCTCTTTGGGAGAGAGCTTTATAGTCGGGTACTTGTTAGACATCTCTGCTTTGTGTCCCTAAGGCATCTGAAACCCCACATGTCTGAACTGACCTCCTTTCTCTGTTCTGTCTCAGTCAGTAACCAGATTTTATTGATTTTACCTTTTCTGTGTATTTTGCATTTAATCTACCATCTCCTTTCCATCTGCACCATCAGTTCTCCCTCCAGCTTAGACTCTCTTACCTTCCTTTCTTTGGTGACAAAAGTGGATCATATGGGCCTTTCTCTTATAGTATTTTCCTCTGTACTATCAGTAATATGCAGATTTGAATAAATCATTTCCTTGATCCAGATGTATCAATGACATCCTATTGTATATTTGCTTAAATTTAAAATCTTTACTGTTGTCTTAATAGGGTCTGCCTAATCTAGCCTCTGTACGCTTTTTTTTTTTGTTTTGGAAATTTACATGCTATGACTGACTAGTCACCTTTTCTCTACCATTTGCTCCGTCCACATCAGCTTCCTTTTTGTTCCTCAGATGTGCTATGCCCACTGCTGCCCCTGGACATTGCTGTTCTTCCCTTTGCCTGAGTTCTCACTCTACCACCTCCACCCCACCCTATGCATGCTTTGTCCCTCATTTCAGACAGATTCCTCCTGTAGTGCTTCCTCCTCTAAGAGACCTTCCTTGGCCCCCCAATTCTTCCCCATCAGCTTCCCTTCCTTTACCCTGCTTTATTTTTATAGGCACATTTATTATTACCTGCAGCTGTGTATTTATGTAATTACCTGTTTCACTGTCTTTCCCCCTGAGTTCTTGAGTGTAGGGACTTTGCCATATCTGTGTCCATAGTGCTCAGAATTGTGCCTGCCAAATAGTAGGCACCCAGTAAATATAAATGATCAAATTAGTTATTTAAGTAAGATTGTTAGCATACCCATGATTATTCCTTTAGGATAAATGACATTAAAATCCCATAAAAGTAAATTGATGCACCTACAGTATTATTTTATTCTGTATTTATTATTTCCCAAGTAAAATATTCTCTTTTTAAAAATTGTTGTGTATTAACACATCACTGGTTTCTTTTGTTGTTTGTTACTCTTAATTCATCTGGTAATACTAATAGTGGGTTATTTTTTAAAGTTATTTGCAAGAGTGGGAATAAGAGTTAAGGTAATTATGTAGACTTAGTTATGATATCTAAAGTGGATTACTATGCATAGAATTTTCTTTCAGCTTTACAATCCTTTTACTCAATATGTGTATTTTTCTTTAGATTTTTCATGATGTAGCTTATAAAGCAAAAGACAGAAATGACCTCCTATCTGGAATTGATGAATTTTTAGATCAAGTGACTGTCCTACCTCCAGGAGAGTGGGACCCTTCCATACGCATAGAGCCACCGAAGAGCGTTCCTTCTCAGGTGAGAATCCACACAGTACTTCTTGGTTTATACATTTTCAAAACTCAAAACTATATGAAGAACTACTCTCAGAGAAGTTGTTCCCCACTGTGTCCTCTTTGCCTTCTTACCCCTGTCCCCACCTCCTGTGGGTCACCATTTGTTATTAGTTTTTTGTTATCCTTCCAGTTTTTATTTAGTACAGGGAAATATGAACGTATAGTCTTGTTCTCTCCTCTTTCTTACCAGAAGTTAACATCCTATTTGTAGTGTTCTGCACCTTGCTTTTCTCATGTAACAATATTTCCTGGGGATCTGATCATAAGAAATCATAGAAATACTCCTTCCTTTCCTCACAGCTGTGTTTTATTCCAGTATGGATGCACCATAGTTTGTCCTGTTTCTGATGCAGGTTGTTTTCAGTCTTCTGCTATTACAAACCATATCATAGTGTTCATATTGCCATTTTAGTCTTGTGCAGATGTGTCTGTCTGTAGGATGGATTCATGCGAATAAAATTGCTGGCTCACATGGGAATTTATTTATAATTTTAGCAGATATTACCAGAATCTCCTCTTATCAGGTTGAACTGTTGTGGACTCATTTTGGTGATGAATGAGAATGCCTGTTTCCCTA